TGGACAACTCATGGTTTGGGGGACCGAAGCCGTGACGTAATAGAATGGTTGCTGTCGCCAGGGGCTCGTAAGAACCTGTGTCGACGAGGCCCCGCCAGATTGGCTACCTTGTTGGTCCGTTTCAGGACTTTTCAATGGCGTCACAAACAGCCAGTGACATCGAGACTTTCTGATCGGCGCGACCTTCCGTAATCCGTACTCAGTTTTCGAGATATTTGCCTATCTTGGGTGACCTGCACTGGTCCTGATTGTCATGGGATTCAGACAGCCTCGCAGTAACTTCCTGAAGGCATCGGAGTCGTTATTGTGTAATATGCCCTCTAGCCTTATTGGCGGGCTGAGGCCCTGACTGATCATTTGAAGCCATGGGCTGTAGTCACTCCGACGTACTGGACGTCGCCGAACGTATAAGCTTTTTTGGGGGCGTACACATGTGGGCTCTGCACACATCTCGACGTGCCCCAATGCACTGCGGTTTCCCTTCGTTACATTAAGTCCATTGACCTCCCAGTGGCCAGAAACTTCCCCAATTCCCTGGCTTCCATGGGATCTAAAAGCCCTCATCGGCGATCTGCTCCTCTAAACCTTTTGTGGAACCGCCCTGACGGAACTGTCTTGGGCCGCCAACAGCGCCACCTTTTCACTGGCCGCCCCACTCCTAGCTGTTGCCAGATCAGGGGTTTATGGCTGTCTCAGTGGTCCCGTCCGCCATCCTGGGTACATACAGCAAACATTAACCGCTGTCACGATGGAGCAATGCTTTGAAAAGCTTTAGAAAAGTGAGGGATGTTTCTATAAAGTTTTAGTATAAACCTTAATATTATGACAAGAAAGGCTGTCCTCATGCAATGTCATAATTAATATGCAATTGGCACACGACATATATCCAACCAAGAATAAGTTTTTTGCATTAAATGACATGCTTTGTATACATTTCTTCTTCGGCGTATGCCTACAGTTCACCCATAGTCTAGGAAATAATAGGTCTGGCATGATGGCCAACGTGCTTCGGGTCGACGTCGTTCCGGCTGTCCCATCGGTGCTGTGTAGAGCAAGGCAAGCTTTGGGGATCATTTTATTCAAGGATTATTCATCTTGGATCTTGTTAGGGTGTGTGAGCCCTGCAAGCTCTGTAAGTAAGCTCTGTAAGCAATAGTGCAGGCAGGGGGCAGGGGGACATGCCCTCTTAGGTTCCAAAGGATCCTTCGGGCCCCTCGGAACCTACGATTAAGCGCCCGATTTGAGGGCCTGAAGGACCCGAAAGGCCGGCTAGAGGTCACATTCAGGGGCCTCGGCCGGCAGAGCCAGACATTCCATTGCCAGCCAGAGGGCTCTGCGCGCTCATCAGGAGCGCACTGAGTCGAAAAGGCCTTTTTTCGGTAAGACATCACCAGTAACGCACAGTTGCCCCCGTGGCGGCATGGGGTCACGGGCCAATTTCCCAGGCAGGAACAAAGCCAGAGCCAGCGATTCACATTGGGCGGAACCGCAGAGTACGTCATTGCCCCACAGCACCAGCAGGGACCCTGCGCTGACAAGTGGCCCGAGTCGGCCAAAGGCAGTGTTCAAGGAGGTCCGAAGAGGAGGCCCATGGCAGCAAGTGGCCCCGAGTCGGAGCGGTGTTTGAGGGGGCCCGAAGAGGTGCGAAGAGTCTCTCGAGGCCAAAGATCAAGGGTCCAATTGAAAGCCTTAAGGGTCCGAAAGGCTGGCTGTGGGTCACGTTAAGGACCCCCGCCCATAGCACCGTGATCTCAAATGTTAGTAAGAGGACCTTTTGCAACGAAAAGGACTCCTGAGACAGAGCGCTCCTCAATGCCGGCCAGAGATCACGAACAACAAACAGTCGGCTCCGTGTTGGCCTGACCTCTGGGGGGTCAGTTTCTTACGAAGGGACAAGGCCGGGTCCACCATTAAGATTGGTCGGGGTTTCCGCATGTGCCACAGTGCCAAACAGGGTGTTCTATGTCAACAAGGGGCCTCGAGTAAAAGCTGTAGAAATGAATGTATATTTGTATGGCTTTTATGAATAAAAGCGGTAGAAGTATACAGCTCATATATGTATCTATCTATATATATATATATATATATATATATATATATATATATATAGATACATATATGGATACATCTTATAGTATAGTATATAGTATATACATAGATACTATATATATATATATATATATATATATATATATATATATAATATATATATACGTTAGAGAGAGAGAGAGAGAAAGAGAGAGAGAGTGTGTGGTGTGGTGTGGTGTGTGTGTGTGTGTGTGTGTGTGTGTGTGTGCGCTCATGGACTGCATGCATCACGCCGCATACAAAACACTCCTGTCGTCTTCCGTATAAGTGTCTCCAACAGTTTGGTATGTATTTCAGCTCCCGTATGTTCGCTACGCACCAACTCGCTCTGCGAACCCAGAACACGCGCCCCAAAACACTTTGATGGTCTTCACGCTATCATTGGGCATCGCACTGACCAGTTTAAAAGGTATTCGAGTCCTTATGCATGTAAGAAGCAAGGCATACTTCCGACGCTGGCGTCACAGCATTTAAAGGCCTTTTCAACAAATGGTGGTTAGCTGGCTATCAACAAGACTACGCTTGTATGGATACGTGTGATGCCAGACCTCCTCCTACCGAACCTTTTGAAAACTTGTGAAAAACATTCGGCGCCGTATAAAACATCCATCGCGGACACGACGAAACAAACTCCGATATCCTTATAGCGTCTTTGTTCATAGGCATGCCGTACTCACAGACGGGCGCGCAGCCAGAGTCTTGGCGGGGGTTGACAAAGGGCCCCCTGATGATAAAAGGCTCCCCAAAAATCGCCGGATATGGCCCATTTGTCAATGAAGGCATGTTGCTTGTAGCTGCTTAAGATGTATACTTGCACACACGCACACGCACACACACACACACACACACACACACACACACACACACACACACACACACACACACACACACACCACACACACACCACACACAACACACATATATACACATATATATATATATATATAATATATATATATATATATATATACATATATGTGTATATGACATATTTTACCTTCTATAACTGAAAAAGCTCAAATGCTATCGCGAAATCAATTCTGAGTGAAGTTTTAGGACATTAAACTAGAAAAGCCGTGCGTTAAATGACTATAAAATAGATCACCGGCGCTCTTTATTTTACATCGGTCCAATGGG